TTGCCGGTCGCGGTCCCACAGCCCCAGGACCAACCCCAGCCCCACATGCCGGCCCCGGCCCCACGACCTAGCCGCAGCCTTCTCAGGCAACTTCATACGGAATCAGAGAGTTTATACAAAAAGAGATTGTATGTGGAGGCAGAGGCGGGGTTCAGGGATGCCGTCTTCCTATTGTTGCCTTCGTCGCCGAGCAAGGAGCTTGCTGATAGCTACAAGGACCTTGGATGCACTCTCTTTGCACAGGATCGGTTCGTTGCTGCCGAATCCTCGTTTCGGTCGTGCTTGCAAGAGAGGGAAAAAACGGGTGAAGGGGTTGAAGCAGAGGATATCTACAACCTCGCTAATACCCTTTCTCATAAGGCGTTCGCCCTTACAGCCGAGGCTCGTAGGCAAACTCTGGAGGAGGCACAGAGCTTATTAGAACCGGTGATGCCAGGCAACGACTTGAGGGATTATTGGGACTTGGCTGCTGAGCTTTGCCGTAGACTGGGCGTGGGGGAGGAGCGCGATGCGTGCGATGTTATTTGTAACGGATACCCGGGAGTGTTGTTTGCGAACAAGTACAACAAGAGCAGAATCAGATGTGCATGCTATGACTGTGGTAAGAAAGCACCCCCACCCTCCTTTTTCCTACGACCGACACGTGTCATGCAAATGATCATTGTTGTTGCTTCGCGCGAGTGGCCATTGTTCTGGGGCTTTCCTCAATAAGTTTTTTCTTGTCATTTTTGCAGGGGGCACACAGCCTTCTATGTCTCTCAAGGATTTTGCAAGGCATGCGCAATATGATGGGGGGGCTGTGCAGAGGCTTCTTCCCGGCGGTCTGGTGCGTTGTCAACGTCCCTAAAACCTCCAATCAGAGTGCCACGTCAGTAGAACTCACTTTGTTCCTCAGTAGTTATTGCCATAATCGCCTTAATTACTTCATCATGCTAATGTCTTTCCAACCTTTGCAGGATGGGGTGTCTCAGCCTCCGTATCAGGCAGATCGGGACAAGGCGGATAAACTCTATGGTATGGAGGAATACACAGCGGCTTTGGGGCACTACCAAAACATTTTGACGAAGGTGGAGAGTGACATTGAGAAGGTGTTGACACTAGGTGATATCGGGGTCTGTCTGTACTACCTGAATCGGGACAAGGAGGCTGAGCCGATCCAACGTCGAGCGCTGGCGATTGCTGAAACTGCGCTCGGTATGGAGCATGAGGAAACCGGACTGGCAGCGGCAAACCTAGCGCGCACCGTGTGTGTGATCACGAAGAAGGAGAAGGAGGAAGCCTTGAGGCTCAGCCGATATGAGGAAGCATTGCACCTCTTTCAGAGAGCCCTCGATGTCAAGGAAATGACGTTGATGACTCGGGAGGGTAAACTCGCTCTGGCCGATGCGCTGGAGGAGGTCGGGGAATGTCTGAACTTGCTCGGTAGCGGTGAGCAGGCGGAGCCTTACTTGAGACGGTGCCTCGTCATCCGGACGGAGGAGATCGGCGGAAGCAGCGCGCATGCAGCGTCGCGCATCTGTCCAGTGCTCCCGGTGATCTCGGACACGGCCAGACTGGAGGCGTTGGAGTCGAACATTTGGAAACGCCTGGCTGCGAGAAAGCAAGCCGTGAATGTGTTCCAGACCACGGAGGCTACGTCATCCCGGTAAGATCATACGGCTTCCGTTGTCTATGACTTCGTTCATTTTTTTGGTACCATCATGCTAATGGGAGTCTTTTCGTATTGTGTACACCTCTGATCAAGGATCCCTTTTTTGCAGTTCCCATATCGACTGCGTGACACGAGAAGCCGTGAAAGCACCCCCGACAACCAAGGCTACCAACTTTTCGTCATCCACGTAAGCTCTATGGCCCGTTCTCTTTTGACTTCGTTCATCTTTTTGGTATCATTATGCGCGATGGGGGGTCTATTTCGAATTATGTACACCAACTGATCTGCAACAAACTCTGCAGGTCCCACCTTGACCACATGACACGGAAAGACGTGATCTGCAACCAAAGAACCGGTGTGCTGTACTTCGACGACATCGCAAAATTTCCAATGAACCGACCAGGTGCCGCACTCATGCCGACCAGGCATCTCCAGTGCCGCACTCATGCCGTTAACTG